GCTGTGTGTGTTAGACCTGTCTAGTATGGCTGTGTGTGTTGGACCTGCCTAGCATGGCTGAGTGTGTTTAACCTGCCTGGCATGGCTGGGTGTGTTGGACCTGCCTAGCATGGCTGTGTGTGTTAGACCTGCCTAGCATGGCTGTGTGTGTTGGACCTGCCTAGAATGGCTGTGTGTGTTGGACCTGCCTAGCATGGCTGTGTGTGTTGGACCTGCCTAGCATGGCTGTGTGTGTTGGACCTGCCTGGCATGGCTGTGTGTGTTGGACCTGCCTAGCATGGCTGTGTGTGTTGGACCTGCCTGGCATTTGGGTGTGTGGTTGGGCCTTCCTAGCATGGCTGTGTGTGTTGGACCTGCCTAGCATGGCTGTGTGTGTTGGACCTGCCTAGCATGGCTGTGTGTGTTGGACCTGCCTAGCATGGCTGTGTTGTTTGGACCTGCCTGGCTTGGCCCGGGTTTTTGGGAACTGCCTTGCATGGTTTGTGTTGGGCCTGCCCAGCATGGGTTTTGTGTGTTGGACCTGCCTAGCATGGCTGTGTGTGTTGGACCTGCCTAGCATGGGTGTGTGTGTTGGACCTGCCTGGCATGGCCCGGTGTGGGTTGGGACCTGCCTAGCATGGCTGTGTGTGTTGGACCTGCCTGGCATGGCTGTGTGTGTTGGACCTGCCTAGCATGGCTGTGTGTGTTGGACCTGCCTAGCGTGGCTGTGTGCGTTGGACCTGCCAAGCATGGCTGGGTGTGGTGGACCTGCCTAGCATGGCTGGGTGTGTTGGACCTGCTTAGCATGGCTGTTTGTGTTGGACCTGTGTAGAATGGCTGTGTGTGTTGGACCTGCCTAGCATGGCTGTGTGTGTTGGACCTGCCTAGCATGGCTGGGTGTGTTGGACCTGCCTAGCATGGCTGGGTGTGTTGGACCAGCCTAGCATGGCTGTGTGTGTTGGACCTGCCTAGCATGGCTGTGTGTTGGACCTGCCTAGCATGGCTGTGTGTGTGTTGGACCTACCTAGCATGGCTGTGTGTGTTAGACCTGTCTAGTATGGCTGTGTGTGTTGGACCTGCCTAGCATGGCTGTGTGTGTTTAACCTGCCTGGCATGGCTGGGTGTGTTGGACCTGCCTAGCATGGCTGTGTGTGTTAGACCTGCCTAGCAGGCTGTGTGTGTTTGGGCCTGCCTAGAATGGGTGTGTTTTGTTGGACCTGCCTTGCATGGCTGTGTGTGTTGGACCCTTTCCTGGCATGGGTGTGTGTGTTGGACCTGCCTAGCATGGCTGTGTGTGTTGGACCTGCCTGGCATGGCTGTGTGTGTTGGACCTGCCTAGAATGGCTGTGTGTGTTGGACCTGCATGGCATGGCTGTGTGTGTTTTGGGCCTGCCTACACGGCTGTGTGTGTTGGACTGCCTAGCATGGCTGTGTGTGTTGGACCTGCCTAGCATGGCTGTGTGTGTTGGACCTGCCTAGATGGCTGTGTGTGTTTTTGGACCTGCCTGGCTTTGGGGGTGTGTTGGAACTGCCTAGCATGGTTGTGTGTTAGACCTGCCTAGCATGGTTGTGTGTGTTGGACCTGCCTAGAATGGCTGTGTGTGTTGGACCTGTCTAGAATGGCTGTGTGTGTTGGACCTGCCTAGCATGGTTGTGTGTGTTGGACCTGTCTAGCATGGCTGTGTGTGTTGGACCTGCCTAGCATGGCTGTGTGTGTTGGACCTGCCTAGCATGGCTGTGTGTGTTGGCCCTGCTTAGCATGGCTGTGTGTGTTGGACCTGCCTAGCATGGCTGTGTGTGTTGGACCTGCCTAGCATGGTTGTGTGTGTTGGACCTGCCTAGCATGGCTGTGTGTGTTGGACCTGCCTAGCATGGCTGTGTGTGTTGGACCTGCCTGGCATGGCTGTGTGTGTTGGACCTGCCTAGCATGGCGGTGTGTGTTGGACCTGCCTGGCATGGCTGTGTGTGTTGGACCTGCCTGGCATGCTGTGTGTGTGGACCTGCCTAGCATGGCGGTGTGTGTTGGACCTGCCTGGCATGGCTGTGTTTTGGACCTGCCTAGCATGGCTGTGTGTGTTGGACCTGCCTAGCATGGCTGTGTGTGTTTAACCTGCCTGGCATGGCTGGGTGTGTTGGACCTGCCTGCATGGCTGTGTGTGTTAACCTGCCTAGCATGGCTGTGTGTTTTTGGACCTGCCCAGAATGCTGTGTGTGTTGGACCTGGCCTAGCATGGCTGTGTTTTGGGGGACCTGCCTGGCATGGCTGTGTGTGTTGGACCTGCCTAGCATGGCTGTGTGTGTTGGACCTGCCTGGCATGGCTGTGTGTGTTGGACCTGCCTAGAATGGCTGTGTGTGTTGGACCTGCCTGGCATGGCTGTGTGTGTTGGACCTGCCTAGCACGGCTGTGTGTGTTGGACCTGCCTAGCATGGCTGTGTGTGTTGGACCTGCCTAGCATGGCTGTGTGTGTTGGACCTGCCTAGCATGGCTGTGTGTGTTGTACCTGCCTGGCTTGGCTGGGTGTGTTGGAACTGCCTAGCATGGTTGTGTGTTGGACCTGCCTAGCATGGTTGTGTGTGTTGGACCTGCCTAGCATGGCTGTGTGTGTTGGACCTGTCTAGAATGGCTGTGTGTGTTGGACCTGCCTAGCATGGTTGTGTGTGTTGGACCTGTCTAGCATGGCTGTGTGTGTTGGACCTGCCTAGCATGGCTGTGTGTGTTGGACCTGCCTAGCATGGCTGTGTGTGTTGGACCTGCCTAGCATGGCTGTGTGTGTTGGACCTGCCTAGCATGGCTGTGTGTGTTGGACCTGCCTAGCATGGCTGTGTGTGTTGGACCTGCCTAGCATGGCTGTGTGTGTTGGACCTGCCTGGCATGGCTGTGTGTGTTGGACCTGCCTAGCATGGCGGTGTGTGTTGGACCTGCCTGGCAAAGGCTGTGGGGTGTTGGACCTGCCTGGCATGGCTGTGTGTGTTGGACCTGCCTAGCATGGCGGTGTGTGTTGGACCTGCCTGGCATGGCTGTGTTTTGGACCTGCCTAGCATGGCTGTGTGTGTTGGACCTGCCTAGCATGGCTGTGTGTGTTGGGCCTGCCTGGCATGGCTGTGTGTGTTGGACCCTGCCTACATGGCTGTGTGTGTTGGACCGCCTAGCATGGCTTGTGTGTTGGACCTGCCTAGCATGGCTGTGTGTGTTGGACCTGCCTAGCATGGCTGTGTGTGTTGGACCTGCCTAGCATGGTTGTGTGTGTTGGACCTGCCTAGCATGGCTGTGTGTGTTTGGGCCTGCCTAGCATGGCTGTGTGTGTTGGACCTGCCTAGCATGGCTGTGTGTTTGGACCTGCCTAGCATGGCGTGTGTGTTTGGGCCTGCCTGGCATGGCTGTGTGTGTTGGACCTGCCTAGCATGGGTTTGTGTGTTGGACCCGCCTAGCATGGCTGTGTGTGTTGGACCTCCTAGCATGGCTGTGTGTGTTGGACCTGCCTCGCATGGCTGTGTGTATTGGACCTAGCCTAGCATGGCTGTGTGTGTTGGACCTGCCTAGCATGGCTGTTGTGTTGGACCTCCTGGCATGGCTGTGTGTGTTGGACCTGCCTGCATGGCTGTGTTTTGTTGGACCTGCCTAGCATGGCTGTGTGTGTTTGGACCTGCCTGGCATGGCTGTGTGTGTTGGACCTGCCTAGCATGGCTGTGTGTGTTGACCTCCCTGCATGGCTGTGTGTGTTGGACCTGCCTACATGGCTGTGTGTGTTGGACCTGCCTAGCATGGCTGTGTGTGTTGGACCTGCCTGGCATGGCTGTGTGTGTTGGACCTGCCTAGCATGGTTGTGTGTGTTGGACCTGCCTAGCATGGTTGTGTGTGTTGGACCTGCCTGGCATGGCTGTGTGTGTTGGACCTGCCTAGCATGGCTGTGTGTGTTGGACCTGCCTAGCATGGTTGTGTGTGTTGGACCTGCCTGGCATGGCTGTGTGTGTTGGACCTGCCTAGCATGGTTGGGGTGTTTGGACCTGCCTGGCATGGCTGTGTGTGTTGGACCTGCCTGGCATGGCTGTGTGTGTTAGACCTGCCTAGCATGGTTGTGTGTGTTGGACCTGCCTGGCATGGCTGTGTGTGTTGGACCTGCCTAGCATGGCTGTGTGTGTTGGACCTGCCTAGCATGGTTGTGTGTGTTGGACCTGCCTAGCATGGCTGTGTGTGTTGGACCTGCCTGGCATGGCTGTGTGTGTTGGACCTGCCTAGCATGGTTGTGTGTGTTGGACCTGCCTAGCATGGCTGTGTGTGTTGGAAACCCGCCCGGCATGGCGTGTGTGTTGGACCGCCCAGCATGGTTGTGTGTGTTGGACCTGCTAGCATGGGTGTGTGTGTTGGACCTGCCTAGCATGGCTGTGTGTTTTGGGCCTGCCTAGCATGGCTGTGTGTGTTGGACCTGCCTAGCATGCTGTGTGTTTGGACCTGCCTAGCATGGCTGTGGTGTGTTGGACCTGCCTGGGATGGCTGTGTGTGTTGGACCCGCCTGCATGGCTGTGTGTTTGGCCTCCTAGCATGGCTGTGTGTTTGGACCGCCAGCAGGCATGTGTGTGTTGACCTGCCTAGCTTGCTTGTGTGTGACCTTAAGATGCTGTTTTTGATGCCCAGCAAAGCTGTGTGTTTGGACCCCTGGAAAAAACCCTGCCGCTTGTTCCATCAATGTCTTGGAGACTTGGCAGATTGCCTCAAAATAAATACAAGTTTGGCGAAGTACCATACCAAAGTTTTCCTAAGGTGGATGCCATAACCTGTTGTTACCCGGCATGAAAAGTTGTTGCCCTAAGTGTTTTAAAAATACAATTTTAACAGCGGGTGTTAAAAAGCGATAAAAACCTTCCCAGTGGGGGAACGTTTAAAAAAAGGCTGTTAACCCCCCAAAATGGTTGGAGTTATTCCAAGCCGGAGATGCATCTTTATTATAATAGGTCAAATTTTGGCCCCTTTTTTTGGAACCCTTATAATTAACAACCAAGGGGGGTTCGAAGGAGTACTAACTCCTTAGTAACTGAGTCAATGAATACCCCTGAGGAAGGAAATCAATAAAATAATAGGTTTTTAAAATCTGAGTCCCGAAGAATTTAAACACATGATAAAATGAAATGTTCAGAAAATTTCTATTTTAGAAAATAACGTTCTCTAAATTAAGTCACGGTTAACATCGGGAAAAAAGTTAAAAAAACCAAAGGTGGGAATTAACCATGTGGACAATTCCAGATAAAGGTTAAAGGAAAATTTATCCAAAAAGATTTGGGATGCTATAAGCTAGTTTAAAAGTATTGAAGATCTTTTCACCAATCAATTAAATATAATTTTCTAAGAGTTAAAGTTATTTTAAAGTTATTTGGTTTTTTTAAAACATGAAATTACCTTGGGGCATTTAAATAGTATGGTAAAATTTTCACAAGATTAGAAATTAGTTTCATTTTAAAATTTAAGAATTCAGTATTACTAAATATAAGTTTTGCCGGACTTTAAAAATGTTGTTTCCCGTTTGGATTAAAAGGTGTATTGGTTAATTAATTAAGGAAACAAATAATAGGGGGTTCAAATATAGATAAGATTGATTGTTCCGGGTGATTTGATTTATTCCTTGTTAGCTTTAAAATTCAATTTTGTTTATTTGAGGTTGAAACCATCATAATATATAGTTTTAATTGGAAATGTTTGTTTTAAAGGTTAAAGTGTTTAAGGGATATAATTTGGCGTTTACCATTGACAATAAGATAGGGGAAATTAGTTTTCTAGTATTAAACCAGTTGTAGGATTGTGAACCAGGTAATTGTTTGCAAGTTTGAAATGGGGTTCAGGGGAAAAAAATGTAATGGGTTAAGTGGATATTTTGGTTTTTTAAGGTTAGTTTGCGTAAGGTCAATGATGTTATTAAAAGTTAAATATTTTAATTTGGTAAAGTTTTAGTTTAAGGGATTGGGGTCCAAACGGGGAATTTCATGATTTTTAGGTGTCTTGTTTTGAAATTTATGCTGGGTCGTAGATTTGAAGGCTTGGGCAGGAAACGGAATTTAGGCAAGAATTGTTAATCTTGATTTTTATTAAGGTAAGTTAACAGGTTGTAAGTAAAAATTCCATGGATTATGTAAAGGGTTGTATGCTTGGGTTGGTTTGTGTATTTTAAGCCTAGAATTTGAATTTTAAAATTTGGTGAAAGGGTTGGGTGTGTAAATTTTGGGGGTTCCCCTAATTTTAAGTATGGAGGAAAGGGTAGAGGTTGGAATTCCCCCCGAATTAGTTCAATTTTGCAATTAGAGGCTGTGCTTAATGGGGTGATGTAAATTAAGGTATCCAACCCTTTAAAATTTTGTTGAAATTTTAAGGAAGATATTGTATAAATTTTTAATTATTAATAATTTATATTTGCTTATTAGTTAAATAATATTTTAACTTAAAGGTTTTTTACGATAAAAGTTTGCTTTAAATAATAAAAAACTTTGCATCGTAAATCCCAATATGCACTGGATAATTTGAAGAGTTTTTCACGGGTTTAAATTAAGTAACAAAGGGAAAAATTTTCGGCAAAAATAATTGTATTTTGTTTTTATTTAAACAAAAAATAATGATCGTAAAAAGAATCGAAATATTCAAAATTTAAGCTTGTTAATCAGTTAAAACATTTGCGATTTTTATATTTTAATATATATTATAAATTAATAGAAAATGATAATTTAATTTAAATTTAACATGTTAATTTAAATTATAATAATAAAATTATAATCTGATAAATTCCCTTTTTTTTAAATTCAATTTAAATTTGCCGAAAGGAAAGGGTTTCCAAATTTAATTTAAAAAAAATTTCCCCCTTTTTTTTAAAAAAAATTGCTGCGTTGTACAGAGTGCGTTGATGTTACTGTGCTGTAAGTAGTGGGTATTGATGTTGCTGTGTTGTAAGCAGTGGGCGTTGATGATTTGTAAGCAGTGGGTGTTAATGTTGCTGCGTTGTAAACAGTGGCTATTATTAATATTATTATGTTGTAAGCGGTGATTGTTGATGTTGCAGTGTTGTAAACAGTGGGCATTGATGTTACTGTGTTGTAAGCAGTGGGTGTTGATGTTGCTGTGTTGTTAGCAGTGGGTGTTGATGTTGCTGTGTTGTAAGCAGTGGGTGTTGATGTTTACTGTGTGGTAAACAGTGGGTGTAGATGATCTTATGCTGTAAGCAGTGGATGTTGATGTTGTTGTGTTGTAAGCAGTGGGTGTAGATGATCTTGTCCTGTAAGCAGTGGGTGATGTTGCTGTGTTGTTGTGTTGTAAGCAGTGGGTGTTGATGATCATGTCTTGTAAGTAGTGGGTGTTGATGATCTTTTCTTGTAATTAGTGTGTGTTGATGATCCTGTGTTGTAAGCAGTGGGTGTTGATGATTTTGTGTTGTAAGCAGTGGATCTTGATGTCGTTGTGATCTAAGCAGTGGGTGTTGATGCTTCTGTGTTGTATGCAGTGGGTGTTGATGTTGTTGTGATGTAAGCAGTGGGTGTTGATGTTGTTGTGATGTAAGCAGTGGGTGTTGATGTTGCTGTGTTGTAAGCAGTGGCTGTTGATGTTGTGATGTAAGCAGTGGGTGCTGATGTTACTGTGTTGTAAGAAGTGGGTGTTGATGTTTCTGTGTTTTAAGCAGTGAGTATTGATGATATTGTGTTGATGTTGCTGTATGTTTAATTCTGTCTCTGGTCATGAAAATCACACTGAAACTTAGCAATGCATTGCGGTTGCTGGTCGTATAGTTCAGACAGGTCGTTCACTTCCACACGTTGTTTTGACATAAGTTCAGATTTATGAATGTTTTTTTACGGCTGTTAAAATCTTGGTGGATCCATTTTCAGTGTAGTCTACTTGGTATCTGATAATTTTCGGACTCTGCTGTATGTATGTTCTCATGGAGACTGTACTTACATGTATAATGTAAAATATTTATCTTTTTGGGTCACCCTGCCTCGGTGGGGCACGGCCGGATTGTTGAAGATATATATATATATATATATATATATATATATATATATATATATATATATATATATATATATATATATATATATATATATATATATATATATATATATATATATATATATATATATATATATATATATATATATATATATATATAGTTCCTTGATAATGTGAGTAGTCACGAAAGCGCTTGAAATTTCTCTATTCTTTCAGAGTGGTTGTTTTGCATATATTATATATATATATATATATATATATATATATATATATATATATATATATATATATATATATATATATCAATCGCAAGGGGCTAATAACTCCTTCTCCTATATAAATTACTAAATTTTATAAGGAAAAAATTTCTTTTTTCTTCTTAGGTGACCCTGCCTTGGTGTGTGTGTGTGTGTAAACTAGGAGTTGATCTAGGAATCTAACCTCTTCCTTAGTTATCGAAGAGAAATATACTCTTTTGAGCATCCATTCTCATTTTACTTTCTATCATCAAGTCTTGTTTACCTGTATAAGTAAAGGGACACGATATACATTTATCCTTGTCAATACCTGGAAAACTGTGAAGAGATTAACCACTACCTTATCTCTAGAACGAGTGAAATGTGGCGCAATAAGGTCTATAATAACTTAATAATAATGTGGGGTCTAAGAGCTTTTGAATAAACTTCCTGCGAATACAAGAGGAACTGCCGGAGAGCTAGCTGCAAATACAGTCTCTCTGATCCTGTTATCAACAACGTGGACTCGTCAAAGAGCAAACTACCAGACTGGTAATCCCTAGGAAGAGCAGGTCACGCTCCTATCACCTGCAACGTTGCTACATCCACCTGCAGGGTCGCTACACCTACCTTCAGGTTGCTACATCCAAGGTAGCAACCCTGCAGGTGGATGTAGCAATCTACATCCACCTGCAGGGTTGCTACATCCGCCCATAGCCATGGTTCATCCATCATTCCTGGCCCACGCTTGTAACTCCCACTCAGTCAGTCATCAATCTGCATGCAATAGCTTCTGAATAGAGAGATCGATGAGTTAAAAACAAGACAAACGTTGCAGAGAAGTTTTCATTGGGACGTTTTGCTTTGTAGAGAACTTTATCAAGTTACAGGTTCATAAAGCTCCATACAGAGTGATAAGTAGTGCTATAATATGTCACTCTGCAGCTTCTGTCTGTCCACTGTAGTGAATAATAATAATAATAATAATAATAATAATAATAATAATAATAATAATGCTATTATTATTATTATTATTATTATTATTATTATTATTATTATTATTATTATTATTATAAAAATAAAATAAAATAATAATAACAACAACAACAACAACAACAACAACAAAATAATAATAATAATAATTAATAATAATAATAATAATAATAATAATAATAATAATAATAATAATTATTATTTTTATTATTATTATAAAAATTAAACAACAACAACAACAACAACAACAACAACAACAACAACAACAACATCAAAAACAACAACAACAACAATAATGATAATAATAATAATAATAATAATAATAATAATAATAATAATAATAATAATAATAATTATAATAACATTCATACACGATGACTGCTCTGCTAAACATAATTTCTACAAACTTTCTATCCACGTCTCACCTGTAGCTTCTGCTTGACTCTGTCCATAGCGACCTGAGAGTCGAGCCTCTTGATAAGTTTAATACAGGTACTCTGGTCTATGAAGCCTCCACTGGAGTCCTTGGAAGCCTTCTCAAACATCTCCTTGAGCCAGGTTTCCCGCATCGTCTGCCTGTCTTCTACAGCGTCCGGAGCATCTGACGGAAGTGAGATACGATCATTTGGCAGAGATTACCAGGAGGACATGAGTTGGAAATGCATATGCAGAGAGAGAGAGAGAGAGAGAGAGAGAGAGAGAGAGAGAGAGAGAGAGAGAGAGAGAGAGAGAGAGAGAGAGAGAGAGAGAGAGAGAGAGAGAGAGAGAAAGAGAGAGAGAGAGAGACAGACAGACAGACAGACAGACAGACAGAGAGACAGAGAGACAGAGAGAGAGACAGAGAGACAGAGAGAGAGGGAGAGAGTGTGAACCAGCATGTGAAAAAGTAAGGGAGAATGAGTGAAAAAGTAAGTAAGAAAGAGGGGTAAATAGAGCAAAGGACTTTAAAAATTGGTTTCCTATCTTCTCTCTCTCTCTCTCTCTCTCTCTCTCTCAAGACTGACTAACTTTGTATGCAGATGAGAAGGGTAAGTCCTTGCCTGGGTGACACTTGCCCGAACTTAGATTACCGAAGATGTAGATAGCTAAGAGGTGGGTAGGGGTAGAGGTCGTAGGAAGAAGTTGTCAGGGAGGTCGTGAGGAGGGGTTGTATGGGAGGTCGTGAGGAGAGGCTGTATGGGAGGTCGTGAGGAGAAATTGTTAGGGAAGTCGTGGGGAGACTTTTCGGGAGGTCGTGAGGAGAAGCTGTCAAGGAGGAATGGTTGTACGGGAGGTCGTGGAGAGTGTTTGCTGGGGATAGTCGTCGGGGGTGGTTACTGGGGATAGTCGTCTGGGGTGGTTGCTGGGGAGGTCGTGACAAACACACTGGAGGAAGGGATGACCATCAATATCTCACAAGGTCAGTTGAAACTCGACTTGTTAAACCTTCACAACTCTGACCTTACTAATTCCTACCACTGTATTAATTCACGCCAACTGACGTATAAGATCTTCCCTTTATGTACAATTGTCTTCAGTTTGCTGATGAGTATCTCAGTTTAATACCGAGATATAAAGTATCTATCTCCTTGTTCTGCTACAATATCTCGCTTATCTCGTTTGTGCAATCAACTATATGTATATTAGCCACTACTATTGTCTTCTGAACATAACAGAGTTTCCTTGTATATAATCCTCGTCTCCTTAATGAAATTCGGGTTCAGGGGTCCATAGACTTCAAGACGCTTATGTAATAGTGTTCTTGTCTACATGTCTCTCTCTGTCTCTCTGTCTCTCGCTCTCTCTCTACCTCTCTCATACTTCCGTTGGGGATTTTATTTATTCCTCCTATTTATAACTCTGGCCTCTTCTCTCTGTTGATAATACTATATCTTTTATTTTATCTAAATGTTCTAAATATTTAATGACTATATACGTTGTTATCATGTCTCCTCTATTAAGGGGAACCTTTCTAAGTGTTTTTCAGTTTTTCTTCGTAAGTGAGAAATGTTAATTTTGAGAGCAAATTTTGAAGTTCGTCATTATTTTTTTAATTTGTTTGCAAAGAGGTAGATGAAGGAAGATCCTTCAGCAGATAACTCAGGTTTATCTTCATATCGACAAGTCCTCGTTACACTTTGAAGTTCTAACGTTGTTTACATGCTTTCCCATATTGTTTATACATGCCTCTGTAAAAGTGTAATTAATTATGTATGTGTATCCCTGAGTGCTTACATATATTCCTTAGGTTTGGGCACCAAGAAGCTCCTTTATGTTCCATTTTGGCTTAACATACGAATTTTGTAGGTTTTTGAGTGTTTTTACCCATATAAAGTAACTTAAAGGAACATCGTATCAGTTTCTGTTTTATGCACGAGATCTAGTGACCATTTTTTTTTACTGATGGCAGTGAGATTTCTGTCTCTGATAATATTAATATTTTTTTTATCACATAATCTATGTTAATGTAGCCCCGTTTCTATTCCATGATAGTTATCTATCATCCATTTGCCACCGCAGTTACTGTGCCTCTTGTTTTTTTCTGTCTTCTTTTTGTTTTGCTGTTAATGTGTGACGTCAACGACGTTACTGTAGAACAACTGTTCTTAGTTTTCTCTCTCTCTCTCTCTCTCTGTCTCTCTTTCTGTCTGTCTGTCTCTGTCTGTCTGTCTGTCTCTCTCTGTCTGTCTGTCTGTCTGTCTGTCTGTCTGTCTGTCTGTCTGTCTCTGTCTCTCTCTCCCTCTCTCTCTCTCTCTCTCTCTCTCTCTCTCTCTCTCTCTCTCTCTCTCTCTCTCTCTCTCTCTCTCTCTCTCTCTCTCTCTCTCTCTCTTCTCTCTCTCTCTCTCTCCTCCCACCCCTCCCTCCCTTTCATGCTGTTCCTAATTTATCCGTCAGTTTCTTTATCAATGTATTTTAGTGTCTTCCTCCTCTAATTAGTTTCTAATTAAAGTGAATTGCAGTTTATCTAATATACTAATGTTAAGAAAGTCTTGCTTTAATAAGTGAATGTTAGTCTGTTCTTCCTTGTGTTTTTCTCTACTGTGCTATCTGCTTTATATCTCAGGAATCATCAGTGCATTTTGTTAACACAGATGTTTGTTCTACTGTAACGTTTTCAGTTTTATATGTATTTTCTGTTTCTTATGGCAGCCAAAGACAAGTCATTTTGTCTGTAGCAGCATGTGTGTTGTCTGTAGCAGCATGTGTGTTGTCTGTAGCAGCATGTGTGTTGTCTGTAGCAGCATGTGTGTTGTCTGTAGCAGCATGTGTGTTGTCAATAGCAGCATGTGTGTTGTCAGTAGCAGCATGTGTGTTGTCTGTAGCAGCATGTGTGTTGTCTGTAGCAGCATGTGTGTTGTCTGTAGCAGCATGTGTGTTGTCTGTAGCAGCATGTGTGTTGTCTGTAGCAGCATGTATGTTGTCAGTAGCAACATGTGTGTTGTCTGTAGCAGCATGTGTGTTGTCTGTAGCAGCATGTGTGTTGTCTGTAGCAGCATGTGTGTTGTCTGTAGCAGCATGTGTGTTGTCTGTAGCAGCATGTGTGTTGTCTGTAGCAGCATGTGTGTTGTCTGTAGCAGCATGTGTGTTGTCTGTAGCAGCATGTGTGTTGTCTGTAGCAGCATGTATGTTGTCAGTAGCAACATGTATGTTGTCAGTAGCAACATGTATGTTGTCAGTAGCAACATGTATGTTGTCAGTAGCAACATGTATGTTGCCAGTAGCAACATGTATGCTGTCAGTAGCAACATGTATGTTGTCAGTAACAACATGTATGTTGTCAGTAGCAACATGTATGTTGTCAGTAGCAACATGTATGTTGTCAGTAACAACATGTATGTTGTCAGTAGCAACATGTATGTTGTCAGTAGCAACATGTATGTTGTCTGTAGCAGCATGTATGTTGCCAGTAGCAACATGTATGCTGTCAGTAGCAACATGTATGTTGTCAGTAACAACATGTATGTTGTCAGTAGCAACATGTATGTTGTCAGTAGCAACATGTATGCTGTCAGAAGCAACATATAGGTTGTCAGTAGCAACATGTATGTTGCCAGCAGCAACAAGCAGATTGTAAGTAGCAACATGTTCCACATATAACGTACGACAATATGTCTTCACTATACTGATGCTTACTTTTAACTCATTTGTTTTCTTTTTAAAGCATTGTGTTTTGCTTAGCCTCATTTGCATAGATAGAGAATATTTTGAACCACTTTCTCACTGCATTGTTTTCTTCCTCCTATCTCTAATCCTTTCAGTTATCAATTCAACCCTCTTTATCACATATTGCACGAGAGTTCGTGTTTTGATTCCATCTTTACTCTTTTCTGTTACATATCTCCCCTTATTTGACTTATTTGTTTTAGTGTTTATTTTCCTCGTTTAGTGTTGTGGAGGGATAAAAAACGTAGGTGGTGATACATTCTTTTATTGAGCCAACGTTTTGAACACTGAAGAGGTTTATTAAAACAATCTTTCGCTCTCTATAGGCTTTATCAAGTCAATGTTTCACAATGTGCAAAGTTTTATTAGGTTATGTTTCGCTCTGTATAGAGATCTTTGAAGACAATTTTCCTCTCAATATAGAGCATCATCAAGAAAATTATCTTCATTATGTACAGTTTTATCTAGTCAATTTTTTCTCTGTGTAGCGCTTTATCAATTTCCATCTCTTTGAAGAGCTTTATCAAAACAGTCTTTCACTCTATGTAGAGCTTTATCAAGTCAATTTTCCACTCTGTGTAGAGCTATATTAAGTCAGTTTTCCACTCTTTGTAGAGCTATATTAAGTCAGTTTTCCACTCTTTGTAGAGCTATATTAAGTCAGTTTTCCACTCTGTGTAGAGCTATATTAAGTCAGTTTTCCACTCTTTGTAGAGCTATATTAAGTCAGTTTTCCACTCTTTGTAGAGCTATATTAAGTCAGTTTTCCACTCTTTGTAAAGCTATATTAAGTCAGTTTTCCACTCTGTGTAGAGCTATATTAAGTCAGTTTTCCACTCTTTGTAGAGCTATATTAAGTCAGTTTTCCACTCTTTGTAGAGCTATATTAAGTCAGTTTTCCACTCTTTGTAGAGCTATATTAAGTCAGTTTTCCACTCTGTGTAGAGCTATATTAAGTCAGTTTTCCACTCTTTGTAGAGCTATATTAAGTCAGTTTTCCACTCTTTGTAGAGCTATATTAAGTCAGTTTTCCACTCTTTGTAAAGCTATATTAAGTCAGTTTTCCACTCTGTGTAGAGCTTTATCAAGTCAATTTTCCACTCTGTGTAGAGCTATATTAAGTTAGTTTTCCACTCTTTGTAGAGCTCTATCTAGTCATCAACGTCAACATTGCACTAACTGGATCAACTTCACTGCACATATATGCAGTGACCTTCATTGTGCTGCTGTTGTTTCTTAACTTTAATTAGTCTCTCAAAAATATGTTTCTAAGCAAACTTTCTTTTAAGACTTTAACTTTATTTTCAATTATTTTGTTGTGAAAATTAAATATATATTTATTTTCTGTGAAAAAAGTTGTGCTAGAATGATTTTTAATTGAGATTCTTTTGGTTAACTTCTTAAAACAATTTTTAAGAAGCATGGCAGTGAAGCATGGCAGTGAAGCATGGAAGTGAA